GTTTGTATTCTGGTTATGACGGAGGATGGTCCTTGGGCTGCGCTTCCTTTTGTAAGTGTGTCTTGCTTTTTCTTTTGTTTTAAAACAAATTCTGTATTTGTTCATGAAAACAAATCCCCACTAAATGTTCCTTTTAGTGGTCATGAACGTTTATGGTCTTGTTACAAGTTTGGGTCATTCTGCCAACCACTAAATGGTTACGGGGTCGTTTTTGGAGACTCAGTTTCATCCTTCCCAATGGCAGGATGAACAGAGAAAGAAACTAGCCAGGGTTTTCACTCCATTATACTTAAAAAAATAATAAAAGTAGCTAATTAGAACTATTGATTACTATTAGTGATCACTGCGGATAAAATGAATCTACAATTGGGAGATTAAGACATAGAAATAGGTAAAATCAAATTCCTTATTGTTAGCAATCCTATTTTATCTTATCCTGTCATTAACCCTTAACAGATTTTTTGTTTAAGTAATTGCTTCTTTTTTCTTGGATTTCTTGAGGCTTGAATAGAACTCTTTTTTATTTCATGTTAATCTTTAAGATGCAAAATCGATTCTCAGAATATTGATAGAGATGTGGTTACCAGCTGAACTGGGGGCATCAATGGCTGTTATAGCTGTCCCGTCTTTTCAAATGACCAGGAGGAAAGGCCTCCCCTCCCTCTCCTGTAAAGCAGTGCCCCCCTCAGCTGATTTATATCATTTATACCCCATAAATTCACCTGTTTTAAGTGTTGGATTCAATGACTTTTAATAAATCTAGAGTTGGGTAATCCTCACCACAATCCGGTTTTAGAACATTTCCTTCACCCCAAAGCAATTCCATCCTCACCTCCAGCCTCAGGCCACCAATAATCTACTTTGTCTTTATAGAGCTATCTTTTCTGGACATTTCATGTAAGTGGATTCATACAATATTTGATCTTTGTGACTGGCTCCTTTCACCAGCATCATGTTCAACCATGTTACAAGCATTGATACTTTATTCCTTTTTATAACCACATAGTATTCCGCTTGTATGGACCCACCGCTTCTGTTTAGCCACTCACCAGTTGGATATCTGGATCGGTTCCACTTTTTTGCTATTATAAAGCATGTTCCTTATGAACATTTACACACAAGTCTTTGTGCGAACATAGTTTTGACTTCTCTCGGGTAGATACCCAGGACTGGAATTGATGGGTTGTGGGGTGAATTCATGTTTAACATTTTTTTTAAAAGCCAAACTTTTCAGTGACTGCACCAATTTGCATTTCCACCAGCAATATATGAGAGTTCCTGTTCCCACTCAGATTTAACTGCCTTCCTTTCAGAATAGTTACCCCCTTCCACAAAGTTTGACACAAGCTAGAAGGCAGATTTCCAAAACATAACAGATTTCCAGTACCACTGGGTTATCCACCCTCAGGATTTATCCCCCATATCCCAATCAGAAGGTTTCACAAACTTTTGATTAACTTGTTTTGAATCTTGTGACCTGATTTACTAAAACACAATTTTTACTTACTCAATAATTTTCCTGTATTTCCTTTCTTTGTGCTACTGTTCCCCAAACATGGCACTCACATAACCCTTTATGCAATTTATTTTTTTACATATCTGTCTACCCCAACTAGACAAGAAGCGCTCTGGAAGGAATATTTTTGTATCCAAAGTGACTAACACAAAACATGGCATAAAGTGGGCCTTAAAAAGTGTTTGCTGAATAAATACTTAAAGATGCAACATACACATTGGGTTCAAATATACTCTAATATCCAAGTCAGCTTGTTTTCCTTCAAAAGGGCCATATACTTTGCATAGGACTGATTCATTGAAGAGGAATCTTAGGGTTTAAGAAAACCTTGGCAAGAAGTCCAAACCTTTTAGCTTATGTGACAAATCTGAGGGCTGGATCAGTAAAGTGACTTGCCCAAGGTCATCTGCATGTGCTGGTTAGGAATATGCCATTACTTCTGGAAGAAACGCTGCCATGAAGAGAGCAGGTGAACTGAAGTGTTGGGGAGACAGAAGTGGGGCTGGTCTGTGGGTAGAATCCTGAAGGCCAGGCCTGAAGTTCATTCGGTAGGAAAGGATATAGAATTACCCAATCAGTATTCTAGTAGATTAACATGGGAGGGGGCGGCTGTGAGGTGGGAGACCAGCTGGAAGGCTAGAAAACAGCCTAAGTGCGAAGCCAGGAGGGAGGGCCTGGACTTGGTGGGGTGTTTGCAGAGGGGACGAGGGGAGGAGCACAGGGCTATGCAAAATGCACCCGAGACTGGAAAACGGTGCCCCCCTCCTCCCCCGCCGGAAATGGCGGTCTCAGGAGCAGAAATAAGGAAGATGGGATAGAAGTGCAGGTCTGCTGACCATTTATGCATCCTCTACGGCCCTGGGGCAGGGAACCCAGTGGGAGCCCAGTGGGTGAGAGCACTCCCTCTGCACTCATGGTTCCATCCCAATATAAGCTCTACCACCACCACTCACAAGCCAGTGACCTCAGGCCAATGACTTAATGACCCCGAGCCTCAGTTTCCTCATCTGTAAAATGGGGCGATAACGCTTCCCTCTAGGGTTGTAGGGAGGATTCACTTAGGTGATATGTTTAAGGCACTTAGACCTGAGCCTGGTGTGTGGCCAGCGATCAGTTCCCAGTGGCCTCGGTTCCCCCAGTCCTGTAATCTCTCTGTCCTCACAGAAAACTTGAGTTGAGGCATGTTCAGTTGGGAGCAGTGCTCCCAGCAGGAGTTGCTTCAAACTGGGCACTCCGTGTTTGAACTTCTATATAAGGTGAGAGAGAAATCATCTGATTGTTTGGAGTTTGTGGTAATGTTTTAAACTTACTCAATTGGAAATTTCTTAAAGGAACTAGCAATTTTTTTAAAATGCCATGTTCACACAATTATCCAAGTCCTAAACCAGGCATCCGAAAGAAATGATTTAGCTACAATATCTGGTGCAGTTTTCAAATGTCACTCATGGGGCCTTGGGTGATCTCAGATAAGACTGGGGCTGCCCTGCGGAAAAGGGGATTGAACTCCCACCTCCTCTTTGACTAGAACTGCTCCCCTTCCAGCTGTCATATTATTATTGGGTTTCTCAGTAAGACAAATACGATTTCATTTGAAGAAAAGGTTTCACTTTTTTGGAAAACTCTTGTAATGGTAATTTAACAAATATACCAGATTGATAATGACAACCAAATGGTGAATCTTCAAAGATAAAAATAAGTTTTATATAAAACTTCAAATTTGTTAATTGGCTGGACAAGTATATGTTTCTGGAGACTAAAGAAGGAAAAATGTCACAGGATACAAATACCTTTTCCGTAGTAGAATGGTGTTTGCATTTTTCTAACCGATATCAGTGTCCACACCAATATTCCGGAATCCTCTTTGGAAAGAGTAGGGGAAAATGCAAATCCAACCTTGGGCAAGCATTTCATGCTTGCCCCTATCTGTTTAGGAAACAAATTATTTCACAAAAGAACCACATTCCATGAAAGGTATGTTTGTTCTGGCTTAAACATAATCATTTCCTCTGGAAGTCTGATTCAAGTAAAGCATCTTAAGAAACTCAAAATTAGTTTGTAGACAACGGAATGTCATACTCCTTTCTGAATTTCATGAAAGTGTTTTCAAAATTAATTGCTCCATTTTAGACTATGCTTTGAAACTCAAATGTGTTATTATCTCATGGCCTTTACTGCCTATTAGACATCAAATCCAGTTACTTCCTGCATTTTAGTGAACTTTTTTTTTTGCACAAACATGTATATGCTTGTTTATTTACAAAAGGTTCCATTTTTAAATGTGGACTCTGAGTATATTTTTAGATTCTAAATAAATCGATAGGGAGGAGGAGAGCATACGATTAAGAATCCAGGGCTTCCCTGGTGGTGCAGTGGTTGAGAGTCCGCCTGCCCAGGCAGGGGACACAGGTTCGTGCCCTGGTCTGGGAAGATCCCACATGCTGCGGAGCGGCTGGGCCCGTGAGTCATGGCTGCTGAGCCTGTGCTCCGCAACGGGAGAGGCCACAACAGTGAGAGGCCCGCGTACCGCAAAAAAAAAGAATCCAGACCCTGGGGCCAGATGATCTAAGTTCCCATCCCAGCTCAGCCACTTACTAGCTCTGTGACTTTCCACGGGTCACTCCACTTCTCTGTGCCTCATTTAGTGGGAACGATAAAGTGGGAATAATAACTGTACCTCTCTCATCAGGCTGTGAAAATTATAGGAGTTTATATGTAAAGTGCTTTGAATAGCACCCGGTGTACAGTAAGTGCTCAATAAACGTTAGCCATTATTAGTTATTCTTGGTTTCCTAGTGTAGTCAGGGTATGCTTTGGTAGGTTTAATTGATTATTCTAGTTGATAAAAGGCTGCTATGTAGACTGTGAATCGATTAGCACTTTTTATACAAATGGAATATAAATCAATGGTATTCAATTTAAAGACCCTGCTGGTCATAAGTCTACAGACTTTCGGGGCTGAAGGGACAGTACAGAACATCTTATTCAATATCTTTGTGTCGTGGCTGAAGACCCCCCAGCCCCACGGGGCTGAAGCCACTTACCGAAAGCCACGGAGCAAGGCAGAGAACAGCCAGGATGTGGTTGCTTCCGATGACGCTTCAGGATCTCAGCAGGCTGCAGCAAAGTTTCCATTATGGCATCAATTATCATCGCACTGATAAGCCAGCTACTGGAGCATTCTGTGCCCATCAGAATGACAAAAGCATTTACATATTTGGAACTGTCAATATACAAAGTAAATATAGGTAAGGAAGCCGGCTTTGCTTTACACCCTCATGCTATTCTTTACTATCCTGATAGAAAATGCTTGCAGTTGGGGGTGTTTCTATGTGTTTGCATTTCAAACATGCCTTGCAAGACATTTTTTTTGTGAAAACTATAATAAAAAGCAGTCTGAAGGATTAGAAATAGAGAAGCCTAGCACCACCCAGGCTTTACCACTGGAAGCATTTACACCTCGGGAGGCGCACAGATAGGGCACACGCAGATAATCAAAGTTTTATTTAAAACTGCAGAACACTTAAAAATAAACAATATAATATGCTTGAATGTTTACTGTAACATAGAAAAAGGCTTTCAAATACACTAAAACCTTCAGTTTTACCCCAAAGTATGCTATGCAGCCAGTCGAAGTGCTTTGACAAGCATTCCTCTCTACAGATGGCTGGGGTAGGAGGTAGGCTGCGGAGTTCCCTGCAGGCAGGTGGTCTTCCTAGTCAGACTGACGACGTTTTTTCTTGTGGCTCTCAATCGCCCTCCTCAGCACCTCGTCCTGGATGAGATCAGACATGCTCACGTCTGTATGGCTACAGCCAATTTTCGGGCAACTGTGAGGGATGAGAAGATCAAGTCAGGCCGCTTCACCTTCATGCCTTCAGCATAAACTTCTCTCACATGCAAGAATTTAAGTGAGGGCATTTTTTTTTTTAATTGAATGAAAGATTCTTTAAATTCTATAGTGTTTTACAATTTTCAAAAGTTTCACACAGGTGATTTCATATAATCCCATAATAACCCCTTGTTTTTCTTCTCACCCCTATCTTGCCCCTCCCCCTCCCTCTCCCCACCGAGAGCCACGAGTTTGTTCTCTGTGAGTTGGCTTCTTTTTTGTTTTATTAGTTTGTTGTATTTTTTAGATTCCACAGATAAGTGATATCACACAGTATTTGTTTTTCTCTGACTTATTTCACTTAGCATAACGTCCTCCAAGTCCATCCATGTTGCTACCAATGGCAAAATTTCATTCTTTTTTACGGCTGAGTAGTGTTTACGTGAGGACATTTTACCAAAAAAGGAGCACACTTAAAAAATCAGGACCGATGTGCGCTTATTCATTTGTTCACCGGGTCATTTGTTCACTAAGCCAGGGCCTGTCCAGCACTGGGGGCAGGGCAATGCGCTCACTTTGCAGTGGGGGAGACAGATCTTCGCTAACTCAACTGCATAGATGCTTGCTGTGAGTTCACGTGGCATTAAGTGCTACAAAGGCTAAAAAGCAGGGTCAAGGGAGAGAGTGTGAGCTAAGGGGCTTATCTAGAGGGGGTCAGGGCAAGGCTCACTGGGAGGTCTTATCTAGAACAAGGGCTGCGTGAGGCTCGGGCTGGGGCAGCAGCACGTGTAGAAGTCGAGGAGATAGCCGCTTGGTGCCCCGGAGTAAGAACAAGGTCAGTGTGGCTGGAATGCCCAGGGCAAGAGGGAGGGCATTTGGAGACTTGGTTGGAGGGCGTGTGGGGCTTTGGATTTTATTTTAAATGTGAAAACAATGGAGGGGTGGAGATAGGGGAGGGATGGGGTTTGGCTTACATTTAGAAAACACGATTCTGGCTGTTTAATACAGAACACAGGCAGAGGGGAAGCAGGGGAGGGAGGGGGGTTGTGCAGCAGCCAGCAGAGTGAGGGCAGCTTGGATGAGGATGTAGCAGTGAGCAGCCTTGGGATACAACCGGAAATAGAACCTATGGGACTTGCTGATGGACCCAATGTGGAGGGTAAAGGAAAGAGCTGAGCTTTGTGCGGAGTCTGGCCCGAGCTGAAGCAGAATGGTGATACCCTTCATCTCCATGGAAACAACGGGAAAGCCGGGAGAGGATGGAGTCAGGCAGGAGTCCTGGTTGCTACATGTTGCCTCTGAAATGCCCACTAGTCCTCACAGTGGAGAGACTGAGTGGGCTGATGGGGACTCAGGGGAAAAGCTGTGGCTGAAGAAATCAGTGGGTGAGTCACGGTTCTGTTTACATGTGGTCTCCTCTGAAGGCAGTGGGCTGGATGAAGTCACCTGATTTCTTCTCAACATGAACCAGACTCTGGTGGAGTGCCCAGTTTTGGAGTCAAGCCAACCTAGGTCTGAACTCTAACCCCAATGCCTACTTGCTCATTATGAGATCACCGGCAACTCACTTTACCTTCTGGAGCCTCTGTGTCCTCAGATTTACAATAGGGCAGAATCCCAATCTCACGGGGCTCCAGGCAACACAGTGCTCAATAGCTTTCATTCCCTTCACCATCTCCTATGACTATCCCCAGTCTCCTGATGAAAGCTGCTGATCTGTCTATAGACTGCATACCTCCAACACAGACGGGCGCACATTCGTGCATTCATTTGACCCTCTTATGTGATTGGCCCTGTGCTAGTTCCAAGCACCCAGCTGTAAAATACAAATATAGGTTCCTGCCCCACACAGAGCTCTGGCCCAGTGATCTGAGACAGCCCTCCAAAAAGCACAGATCAAAAAGAACAAGTTCAAGACAAACGCTATAAACCAGAAGAGGAAGAAAGCGGATCGTGGGAGCTCCAATTTGTCCAGCGGTAGAAAGCTCCACAGTTCAACACAAATGTGACACTTTCTCTTGGTCTTGGTTTCTGGCCCAAGGCCTCTTTATATTAGAGGAGCATTAACCAATGTAATGAATAGTGTGCTTGCTAACAACGTTTATATTCAAAATACTGAAATGTGTCCTGTATGGCTGGGGACATGTGTTAAAATGTGATTAAAGAAAGGCAATCATATGAAAGACGATGGGGGTGATTTGGCCCAGGTATGATGATTTGGCTTTGCGTTAGGGGAAGGATTGGAGGTGCTTGAGAAATGCTTTACACCGGTTTACAACACCCTGCTGTCTCAAAGTGAATTCTTTCTTTCAGTATGAAAGTAAATAAGGTGAGATTATGAAAAGGATACGGACGCTTTCCTGACTTCAGCAAAGGCAGTTTTCATCACTTCAACTTCCATGACATGGAAATGCAACCTGAAGTCGGTGGCTGGGATGACCCTCCGTTAATGCTTATCAACCCACTGATCATTCTCACTGACTGCCAGGCTGTAATCTCCCCCACTTCACAGAACAAAGTCTTTAATACCAATAGTCAGACAGTGAATAAGCTGCTTTAGGGAAGTGGAGAGGGAGGTGGGGAGGACTTCCTGATGACATCAGTGGTTTTAGTCAGTAAATGAGAGCATTCTGAGAATGTGTGATGGGATTAACCACACCAGTCAGTTGCAGAGCTGGCGTGCACATTAACCCAGGGCCACCCGTGTCAGACAAAGAGGTCTGAGCTCACTGAGGGTATCAGCCCAGGGGACAGAGGCATTAACCAAAAAGCCCTCCCAATGGGAGCCAGACGGCCTAAAGACACTACAGGCTCAAGGGTGAAAAAGACCTGGGCTCAAGCCTCCTGGCTGTGACACTCTGGGCAACTGATGTCATTAATGGGCCTCAGTTTCTTCCTCTAGGAAGGCAGAGCATAGCGTTGCTGTGAGAATGAGTAGGATGCGTGCGACAACGGTCCCGGAATTCACTCAGGTGCTCGATAAGCTGGTTCCTGCTCTAGGACACAACTTCTGTTCTCTAGAACCTTGTGGAGAAGAGCCGGGCCCACCTACAATGCTGGCAGGAGGCAGGCGTTGTGGGAGCACAGGGGCGGGGCACCTTGCGCAGCACAAATGGGGGTTCCAGGAAGGCTTCCCGGAGGAGAGGTCGATGCAGGAGAACCTTGTTTCTCACCCCGTCTCAATTAAACAAACACAAGTTTCTAAACTAAAGAGGAGAAGACAAGGTCATAATGACATGATACTGAATCAGGGCACTCCTCCTCTGGAGAAAGAACACTCTATAAGCATTAGTGCATTCATCCCCACGACATCCTGGTGAGCAAGATAGGCGTGGCAACACACAGTCTTAAGCTCTCGTGTCATTACTGTGAAAGAGTCAGACCTACAGGCCTGGAAGGAGAGGCTGGGTCCTGAACTGGGGTCACTGACAGGGCAGAACATTCCACCCACTGCAGCAGCGGGCAAGCGTGTAAGTGTCTGCTGAGTGAAGGGACCGAGTCTTAGGGGGTCCCAGAGGCTCTGGGGACCCTAGGCCTCAGCATCAGCTCAAAAGTACAGGATTCTGGGTCTGACGAGCTCCTGGATCTGGGCCCCAAGAATTCCAAAGTCCAGCCCAGCTCTAGAAAGCAGGTCTAGAAATGTGAGTGGGATGGATTCCCATCATACCTAAACACAGAGTGTAACTCTATCCTACATCCTCTGAGTCTAAAATAATGTGTCACCAAGCAGTGAGGTAAGTAATACAAACATGAACAGTCTTGACCTCAATAACCCGACTGCTATTTGTTCAGCGTGCTATAGTCCAAAAAGAGCTTTCTCCTGAGTGCTTTGCTTCTCCACTGCCAAGAAATTTGCTGGTCCAGGCCTAGACTGGAATTCCCCACTGTTCCTTTGATCCTGAAATTCTGTGAGATGTCGCTATTTCCATTTTACAGATGAAGACACTGAGGCTCTGAGAGGTTAATGGACTTGTTGGTAAATGGTTAAAATAGGGCCTCCAAGCGCAATGCTGGAGTTCTGCTATTCAACGACACCTTTCTGTTCAACTTAATTGTACTCTTAAATGTGACTGTTTGTTAATATAGCCTCTGTTCTTAAACAAAAAAGGAAAGAAATGACTATGGATAACAGGAAATATCTTATTAATATGAAAATCATAAGGCAGCTTTATTAGTAAGATAATAAACAGCCTGGTTATTAAGAGATGTGTTTTAAGGAATTATTCTAACTATTGTATTTAGTTAGGGCTAAAGTCTCAACAATGGAGACTTTAAAATGGAGTCAGTGCCAGTAACACAATGTAACTGGAACTCCTGTCTGACAAAACATAGTTGGAACCAACAAGGAGGAAAAACTGAGATTTCTCAGACTGGATGTGTCATAGACATTTTTAAACAAAGGGAAGCCAGAACTGCTCATCGCCCTAACATGTGTCCTGGGAAACAACACTAATTCGCGTTTAATCAGGAACCTCTGGAGCAGGATTTGAAGAGGCCCTGGATTCTAACCTGTTACCGAATACAATGTACCTGGCACTCCAGCACTGGCTCCTGTGATACCCAACTCGCTTATCTCTCATCCTTTCTCTCTTGGCTACGTCTCAGACTGCTTGCTTGGAGTCTTCTTCCTTTGACTGCCCTTTCAAAATGGCAGAATGCTTTTTTGTGGGTCTATGTTAGGTGCTGGGGGAACGCGGTAAGCAGAGCAGAGCTGGATCCTGGCCTCGCGTTGCTCAGAGCCAGGCCAAGGTCCCGTCCTTGGGGGTTCTCAGCTGGCTGTCACATCTGGTCCAGAGCTGTACCTGTGCTGCTCTGACTCCTCTGTATCGATAACCTTACAGTCAACATCTCACACTCAGAGCTCTCTCCGAGCTCAAACACCCACATTTTCTGTGCCTCCTGGATACCTCCAGATGGCTGTATTGCTAGGACCTCAAACTTAGCATGACCCAAACTGTGCCTCTTATATTCCTTCCTAAATGTGTTCCCCTTACGACCTCTCTGTCGGCTAATGACATCGCCATCCTTCTAGACACCCAGTTGAGAAATGTCAGTCATCCTTCCACTTGTTCCCTTCAACTTCCGGCTCCCAAATTCTGTCCATCGTACCTCCACGATCGTGTTCCTCCTCATTTCCCTCCACCTATGACTCCTGCCTCAATCCCAGCTCTCATTATCTGTAACTTAATCTACTGCAAAAGCGTCTGAATTGACATCTTCACCTCATGCCTTTATTCATCCATCTCTTGAACTGCTACTGGAGTAACTTCCTAAAACCCAGGTTGACTCGCCTTATTCCCTCAAAACCCTGCAGTGTTCTCTCATGCCTACAGAATAATGGTGGCAAGAATGATGATGAGGATAATGATGATGGGGGATAAAGTTTACTGACCATGTGACAGGTACTTTAAGTGCTCTACATATATCTTATTCAAATTCCAAACATACCAATGAGGCAATTACAACTATTATCATCAATTTATAGATGAGGAAACTAATGAAATCATGACATTTAACACCCTCTACAATGAGTATAGAATAGAGAGAGAATTTACATACACCATTCCCCTATTGCTATTGTCCAGAGCATCCTTCTAATCACCAGCTAACATGCAATAACTGTTGCTGTACCTACTATCCCCCAAGTGGAACAGACTCTGAATAGGGCGAGCCTCTTGGCTAGAAAGAGTCTTCTTCACCATTCTCTGAAATCCTTCTCATTTTTCAAGGCCCAGCAAACATAGTACCTTCGCTGTAATCCTTCCAGACTTCCTCCACTTGGACTTAACTGTTCTTAACTAAGCTATGAGAACCTGCAGAGTTTGCGGAATCTGCACCCGAGTTATAGAAGTACGACAGAAAAATACCCACCTTTTCCAAATGACGGGTGTTACTCAAGTGCTTCCAAACATCATTTACAATTCAAAAAAGGCAAAGGACATTAGAAAATCAAAGTATGTAATCAAGAAGATGCACTTAAATGTGAGCCTGCTCTGGGAGTTGCTCCCAGCCATCCTGGGACTTGGGAGAAATGTGCTTTTGTATCAGTGCCTGCCCTTTTCAAATCTGACTAGAGGAGAATGTCACAAACTTTAAGGAAGAAGACCTGTGACATAGAACTATCTGGGAATACCTATTCTTAGCAATTATGTCAAAAAATTAAAATTTTGTTTTTCAGAGACTAAACATAGAAAAAAGGAGAAAAAGAAGCCTTAGAAGTCCAGAAACAAAGAAAATTACACTCACAAGGGAAAATGAAAGGTTCCTTAGGGAAATATGGTATCTCAGTTGTAAGCTGGAAAGTCAAAACAGATAAAAATGTGCTCAAACAATCTCGATTTTGTAATCATTAGGCCGTTCTTCTAGAATAAATAGGGCAAACTACTTGACTGAATGACCATCAAGATATCTGCAGTCTCAAATGCCCTATCTTTAAGTCCACACCCAGATGAGGAGTGGTGGGGAATTCCAGTTCTAGGTCTGGACCAGCAAACTTCTGGGTGATGGAGAAGCAAGCCACACATCAAAGGGACTGTTATCACAAGTCCATTGAGAACTGGTCACACCTGCAATTCCATTCCTTCGACAAATCTGTGATAAAAGCATAAGAAATGCCAACCAAGTCAAAGCTAGGCTAGCCAACTCAGGTTTCTAGGTTATTACAGGAACTGAGCCATGGTCCCCCAGGGTTGGAGCATGTGTGTGTGTGTGTGTGTGTGCGTGAGAGAGAGAGAGAAAGGGGTAGAAATATATATATAAAAGAAAGATTCTCTAAACATTCCAATTAAAAATTTTTTTCTCATTGCAGTCATCCATGAATTTACTTAAACCATTTGGTAAGTTATTTATGTAATTAAAGATATGAAAGGTTTTCCCGGACAATCAAATCTTGATCATCAAGACCAACTGGATACGAATTCTTATCTTAGGATGATGACTTAATATTTTTTTTAAACAAACTACCTGTATTGCAGAATGCAAAAAAAAAAAAAAATAATTTTTTTAACCATTCCTTCTTGTTTGGGTAAGTGCATATAGAAAGGGGAAAAGAAATCTCTCAGTATCACAGTTCTCTATTTTTTTCAGGCTCCAGCACAAATTCATAAAAATTCCTATTATCTAATGATTAACATTACATCCAATTCCTTTTTCTCATGTTCTGAAGGTGTGGTTGAAGCTCCTTTAGTTTCTTCCTGAACAGATTACTAATTTGTTCCCTCATGTCCTGTTTTTCCATGTTGACACGATCCCTCCGGCTGAATGGACTTCAGGGGAGAAGTTTAAATGCCTTTTCCTCCAGCGTGAACGCACCGCCTCGGACTGACCACCGCTGGGAAGGTGTCACTTCCCTTCCCGCGGCAACTCACCAGGCCTTTTTCTTCCGCTTGCGCTTGGACTCAATCATGCGAACAATGGCTTCCTCTTCATAGGTGTGGCCACACACTTTATTTTTCACTGGCTTCTTCATTTCCAACTGCAATCAAGGAGACATCAGGCTTTCAGGAATGATAGTGATCAGCTTCCAGTAACTTCTCCAAGCCAACAATTATTTGGCACTATGTTTGCCTAGACCTGGGACTTCCGAGGTTTAACCTCCCCATCTCACGGCTCTAGATAACTCCTAGGGCAGATGACCACATCAGAAAATGCAGGGAGACCAGTGGCACCAATGACACTTGGCCTGTGGGCCAGGTTTATTCCTAGATCCCTAAGGGCATCACTGACTGAAAACTCTTTCCCAGGTATACTCTTCAACTCTCATCCCTTTCCTTTCCTCCCTCCTCAACTCTAGACATGAAATGAAGTCAGAAAGCAAACAGGAACCCTTTGCCTCTATGAAGTGAATCGCTTTTTCTTTCAGGGGAAGGAGGAGAAAACAGTACCTGTGTAATGGGGCAGATGAAGTTGGTCTGACTTTGGGTCACAATCATATCTTCATCAACTCCTTCTGTGCCGTCAGCCTCTCTGTCTGCTTGAAGACCATCTAGAGAGAAAAAAGGGAAGTTGCTGAGTCTCGTTGGTCTAACATGTCAAGGACAGGAAGGGATGGAAGGGTCTCTTTGGTGTTAGCCCCTGTGCTAGGCGCCTGGATGCATATTAACTCTTCTGCAGGGGAGGCAGGACTCTGCCCATGTTTGGTAAGGAAACAGATTTGGAGCAGCGAAATAACTTTTTCAAAGTTACAGAGAGTGAATTTGTGAGGGAGTACTGTTCACTAATCAAGAATGTGGCTTTGGAGTCAGAAGGACGTGGTTATCTTTGTCACTTCCAGCTGTGAGACCTCGTGCTAGCGAGGTCTGTTTTTAACGTCTCTATAACTTTATTGCAAAGATTAAGAGGTGAAGAATTTAGTGTGCTCTGCATAGCTCCTGGCACAAAGACACATTCAATAAATGATAGTTACTGTTGGACGATACAGCGATTCTCAAACTTTTTGGTCTTAGAACCCTTTTGTACTTTTAGAAATTATTGAGGATGCCAATAAACTTTTAAAATGTGGTTTATATTTATCAAGATTTGCCATGTTAGACATTAAGACTTAGGAATTTAAAAATATGTATTTATTAATTCATTTAAAAAGAACAACCCCATGACATGTGAACATAAATGACATTAAAAAAATTAAAAGTAATTATATTTTCCAGAACAAAAAAAAGTTAGAGATAAGAGTGGCATTGTTTTACATTTGTGAAAATATCTTTAATGTGTGGCTTAATAGAAGATAGTTGGATTTTTTTTTCACGGTTTGCATACTATATATTTATTTTTTCGCCAGTCTAAAAATAATGTCTACACATTTAATTTCTGTCCAGTAAGAAGTGATAAGAGGTTTAAGAAGGCCTAGTTTAAACAATTTCAAAGAATGAAAATAAGTGAGCAAAATTATATTTATCCTAAAATGTGTCTTTCCATCCACTCCATAGTGTAATGGCTCCTTGAGGCAACTTCCAACAACAATGATGTTTCTGATGCTTTCTATGGTGGCAGAGAGGTGAGTATCACGGTCTGCAGGGCAGAGCAATAAATATAACTCTAGTAATCCATTGTACATCGAAAGTCAGGGAATACTTCATTGGAATTATTCTCATTTGGGGGGATGAATAAAATTAAATCAAAGGACACAGTACCTGATAAAGGAGCAAAAAGCTTGTAGGCTTTGGTCAAAGAAAGAAAAGGGCCTAATGAGTGAAGAACTTCACTAATGAGTGAAGAAGAACTATATATTATAGTTTTCTTCCTTCAGTTTCTCAACTAGATTCCATTAGTGGAGTTTTCTAAAAGATTTGGAGGAGATTCCAGTTCAGATATTATCAGAGATCATCATAAGGTAGTTGGATTTTGATATCTGTGTATATGTGTCCGGTCTGTCGTGATATCACATCACATAGCCTCTGGAAAAATTCACTTATGAAAAGAAAGAGAGTGAAAAGGGCAAATGACATCTTAGTATTATTATGAAGATAGTTTTGACCTTGTGGGTACCCTGAAAGGCTCTCAGAGTACCCTAGGCGTTCCTGGCCCACACTTTGAGAACTGCTGAGTAAATGAGTGGTAGGGCTAGCTTTGAATATAACTTATTTGATTCTGATATCTGTGTTCTTTTCATGGTCCTTGCCCCTCACCAAGGGAAACTAGATAATAGATGGCTTCTGAATGGGGTACTGAGAGAATCTCATATGAAAGCCTTTCCTTCTGGAGAAGGCAGACTTGTCATTCTGCACTGAAATCAAAGATCAGTAGTGTTTTAAACACAAGTGTGACAGTGCAGTGACAGTGTAGTCCTTCCTCCTCCCTTTTCCCCTCCCTTTCTCTCTTCTCCCTTCCCTTCCTTCTTTCATTTTGGCAAAATATTGAATATAGACATTAAAAAGTGCCTCGCTTTTAATGTGTGAGGGAGACCCTTTTCTTAAGTTGAGATGGTTCTGCACATCTTTTAGTTCCTACAACTGCTGGCCCTGGCCTTCCCCCTTGGCCAGATGAAGTATATGCTGGAGAAGTACTACTGGGAACAGGAAAAGGGCCACAGAGCACTTGTTCAAGGTCACCCAGTGAACTTATGGCTGAAACCCAGGGATTCTGCCCCCAATTACTCTGTTTTTTTGGTAGGGGTTTCTCTTTGTTTTAGCAACTAGTGCTATTTATATGCCAGCTTGTTGTATTTTCTTAGAGAAATGTCCCCCAAACAGCGCTTATTCCTTGAAGAAGGCAAGAGTGAAGCCCTCAGAGCTTAGGATTTCCCAGACAGAGCGTTTTCTAACCATTGGTCATTAAGGTATGATGCCTGGGGCCTTTCAGCTTTTCAAGGGCCGATAAAAAGGTCTGAGACCTTGAAAACCATTTACTGGTTTCAAAACAGGATAACTACAAAACGGAAAATAATTTTAAAGGTCTACAAAATGTAATGTTGGGTTAACTTCATTAATTGTTGATTTGGTAATCAAAAATATTTCCTTTGGAAGCAATATATACGCTGGATTTAGGTTTTAATTTAATAATTCCCAAGTATGCTAAGATAATTGCTGAGAAATTAATAGCCAATTACAGGTTAAATCACTTACTTGTAGCCAACCGTTTTCCAAAGCAAAATTGTAAAAATATCTTCAAAAAATTTTGCCAGCAATAAAATTATATTTAATGTGGAAGTTGCCATAGTTTAGTATGTTTGCTGTGATGTGAGTTGCGGCCTCTGAAATAATTTTCCTTAGATCTATGAAGAGTCTTTGTGCTTCCCAGGACCTGTCTTTGGTATGAATAGCGCAAGAGTCAGACTCTTAAAAAAGAGTCCTCTTACCAACCCAATGATTCTTTTTTTTTTTGCGGTACTCGGACCTGTCACTGTTCTGGCCTCTCCCGTTGCGGAGCACAGGCTCCGGATGCGCAGGCTCAGCGGCCATGGCTCACGGGCCCAGCCGCTCCGCGGCATGTGGGATCTTCCCGGACCAGGGCATGAACCCGTGTCCCCTGCATCGGCAGGCGGACTCTCAACCACTGTGCCACCAGGGAAGCCCCAACCCAATTATTCTTCACGATGGTTCAGGAAAGTTGGACAGGTAAGGAGAAAAGTCAAGGAGCAGAGCTGAGAGCTATTCTGATTCTCTGATTCACTTTCCAAAGCCTCCTCTTGCAGGCTGCTGCCGCCCATTTCTGATTGTGCGTTTGACAGTCAAAATAAAAGTATCTCTTTGTCCATTTCTCACAGGGCTTCCTCTGAACTGAAAGATTTCTGACTGCATACGTTATACTGTGGAATTCACCAGAAAATCTGTTGGATGAATAACAGGGTTCAGCCAATGTGAAAGACTGTGGGTTTTTTTTTTTTAATTTTCTATTTTTATATTTCAAAAAGTAGAGGAAGCAAGAAAGCACAACTCAAATGCAATGCCAGCCACTAGGGAAGGCTGAGTGGGGAACTTAGAAGCTGTAGGTGGCTATCAACAGCAGCGATCACGAAAGAAGAAGGTGACATAAGTGAGACTGGGAAAGAATGCCAATGGTGAGTAATAGCCCACGGACCGAGAGTCTAAAAAGAGAAAGAGCTGCAACAGCTAAACTTCTCTTGAGCTAGAACATTTCCTCACCCGAAATCTATATTTATAGAAAGTGATATTAACGTTGGGATTCTACAGTGTGCTGAAACAAAAGGTCACATCTGGCAATAAATGTCACTTACACTAATCTATACAAAAAGACAAAACTTTTTTTTTTTTTTTTTTTTGGTACACGGGCCTCTCACTGCTGTGGCCTCTCCCGCTGCGGAGCACAGGCTCCGGACGCGCAGGCCCAGCGGCCATGGCCCACGGGCCCAGCCGCTCCGCGGCATGCAGGATCCTCCTGGACCGGGACACGAACCCACGTCCCCTGCATCGGCAGGCGGACTCTCAACCACTGCGCCACCAGGGAAGCCCAAAGACAAAACTTTTTGATAAGCCCGCTGAAAGGAAGATTGGAGAGAAAAAATACAGATCGTCTACTAGAATCACAAAAGTTTTAAACTGAGGTTATTTATCCTTATTCCCTCATTTATTGGAGAAAACGGAGATCCAAAGACATTATAGGTTTTGTCCAAAGTCAGGCAGGGAGTTAGTACGGTAAATCAACGTATAGCTCTACTTTCTTGGCCTGCTTAATTTGAATACTAAAACCAGTGTATAGGTTCTGGGAGCCATCCCTCCCTCCCCCAGATTATTATTTTATTACTAATAATACCTCAAGTTTAGTAGTAGCTGCTACATAGCTACATAGCAGCTACTATGCTAAGCACTTTATATACATTATTTCATTTAATCTGCACAAAACACCCATGAAGAACAACTCTATTGTTATTCCTACTGAATAGACAAGAAAACTGAAGCCTCCACAATATTTTTAAGGCAAAAGTAGAAAATATCACCATTATAATAAAGAAGTAAGCAGATTAAATCCGTTTGTTATTCAAGAGATCTCAAAAAGAATTTCTGATTAAAAAAGGAAGAACAAGATGATGAGTCACACTGTTTTCCATCCACATAAACAGGGCATATGCTGTCAGAAGTATATGCGCCAGCTGTCAGCTTCCGCCCAGATGGGTCTCAGACCCACACCTAACATCCATGCCCGGGGCCCAGGGCACCCAAGCGAAGTGCTGAGGAGGGAAACCTGGGCACGAACTAATATGTACAGAGCACCCAGGAGGGATGTATCAGGACTGAGTTAGTAACTTGAATGGGATTTTTTTTGATGTCATAAAATAAAAACCAAAAAGAGAAGACATGAAAATGCTTGTAGTAGTAATTAGGTAAACAATCAAGGATTTCCAAAAGTCTATGAATATTCCCCAGTGATGTGAGGTTAGGAGGCGGGGGAGGGCATTTATTGGATCCCAAGATGTGGGTTCACGGTGAGTCAGTAATGACTGTCAGTGAACAGCTAAATCCTCATCTCAGTCATCCTCCTCCTAGGTGCTCGAGCCCAAACCTTTGGAATCTATCTATCTATATATCTACC